TCTTAAATTCTTAAATTTAGCCTACATCTTGTTGTCTATCGCTATCATTGGTTACGATTTTTAAACAGCTTAATAATGGCGGGAGTCACTTCTTTATTTATGTATTTATTTGTTTATTTATATTTTTATTTTTAATGAATTTTAATTAAAGTATTCACATTCGGTTTGATAAAATACTGGCAAGTACGAGAATAACAATTTACGTTTAATTTTGCCCGACTGCCATCCCTAAAGTCTTAGTTTTAGATCAGTAACGTAGCGAGGGGTGGGGGGGCGGGGGGGCATATGTCCCCGGGCGCCGACCTTAGGGGTCGCCAAAATGGGTTGGAAAAATAAATTGAAAGGTTGAAGGGGGTGCAAATCGAAAGTTTGAGGGGGGGGGGGGGAGCGGGGGGCATATGTCCCCGTGCGCCGACCTTAGGGGGCGCCAAAATGGGTTGGAAAAATAAATTGAAAGGTTGAAGGGGTTGCAAATCGAAAGTTTGAGGGGGGTGCAAATCGAAATCTCGAGGGGGGGGGGGGGGTAGTGCAAATCGAAAGTTTGAGGGGGGTGCAAGTCGAAATCTTGAGGGGGGGAGGGGGGTGCAAATCGAAAAGTTTGTCCCTGGGCGCCGGGAAGGGTCGCTACGCCTCTGTTTTAGATCCGGTTCGATGGGCGTCCCAGCTCTGATAGGTACCTAACTTAAGCGAAAGTTAAGGCGACTTAACTTGTATAACTTAAACCCCACTATCCTCTCATATGCATTGATCAAAGAATGAGGTTAACGCTACTTCATCTGGGACGAGTAATGCAGGTCTGAAAAGTTGTATTAATTTTATTTTTTTAATTTAAAATTAAAAAAAGTGAAAAATATTTTTTTTTCTTTTTCTTCTGAACATTGGTAACTTAAACAAGAATAGAAACTTAGAGATCCATGTCACTAACCTGATGTATAGCTGAGACGTTTGTAACTGCTGACAGTTTCAACCTTACCTGTGCTTGCTTTTTGTAAAAAAAAATAATTGTTGTTTTATTGCTCTTGGGTCTAAGTTTGAGAAAACAAAATACATTCGTTGAGAAAACGTAAACATTTTATCCAACAAAAAAATGTTGGTCTTTGAAGCAATATGTACACATTAAAATGTAAGTGTACACACCTGTACTAGTACAAATATGTACGGTTGTAAGCTGTTTTTCGGCGAGTTGGATTCACCCATGCTTGTATCAAAAATAAAACAGATGGGTGAGGTTAACATATACAATCACATATTTATGTTGTCACATATCTAATACGTTACTGTATAGTGAGTCGTAAACGATATACGTACACACTAACACACATATAAACATATATACATGTAAATATATATATATATATATATATATATATATATATATATATAATGCGTGTGTGTGCGTGAGTGCGTATAACTGAATCGCAAACAGCATCCGTAAAGCCTAAGACCACTACATCAGGTACTAAATTATTTCACGAGACAGCGTTTAATTACCTGGTGAACTGGGTTTGTAAAGATAAGTTATCAAGGCTAAACGTGTGCAGATATTTCTTTAATTTAGTTGTTGGTTTTTTTTTTAAGAAACTGAAACAACTAGCAAGTCCGGGATCCACAACTTAAGCAATAGATCTTAACTAGACGTCATTTACCACAAGCAATCTGTATAAAGGCTTATGTTAGCTCATCCACCTTAGCTGAGCCAATGAGCCACCTTAGCTGAGCCAGTGAGCCACATTAGCTGAGCCAATGAGCCACATTCGATGAGCCACATTAGCTGAGCCACATTAGCTGAGCCACATTAGCTGAGCCACATTAGCTGAGCCACATTAGCTGAACCAATGAGCCACATTAGCTGAGCCACATTAGCTGAGCCACATTAGTTCAGCAAATGAGCCACATTAGCTAAGCCAATGAGCCACATTAGCTGAGCCAAGGAGCCAATAAGCCCGTTAACCGAGGCACCAACTATTCCACATGTAATCACACACAACAAACCCCCCGTATGTTTACTGTAGAACTAAACAAAGCTAAACTAGACAACCTTCTAGTGTTGTGCTACAGAATTCAATTCGGTTTCAATATATCAGAGTCTTAATGTCACGAAGACCTTGATGTAAATGTACAGCGAGAGAGTGGGTGAAAGAAAGAGAGGCAGATTGGGGAGAATGGAGAGACGTGAGAAGCCGGGAGAGACAGAGGGAGAGACAAAGAGAGAGAGAGAGAGAGAAATAGCAGTTTTGTACATTTGAATTGTTTGGTGGAGGTGGGGTATATTTCAAGGTTTGAATGTCATCTGAATGAGATGTTACAATTTGTTTTGTGGGGATGGGGGTATATTTCAATGTTTGAACGCCATCTGAATGTGATGTTACAATTTGTTTGGTGTTAGTGGGGTATATTTCAAGATTTTAATGCCTTCTGAATGTGATGTTACAGTTTGTTTAGTGGGGGGTGGGGGTATATTTCAATGTTTGAATGTCATCTGAATGTGATGTTACAGTTTGTTTTGTGGGGGTGGGGGTATATTTCAAGATTTGAATGTCATCTGAATGTGATGTTACAGTTTGTTTTGTGGGGGTGGGGGTATATTTCAATGTTTGAATGCCATCTGAATGAGATGTTATTGTTACAGTCAGGACAGATCTCCTTAAGATCTGTGACTCTAAAGCAGGGGTTCCCAACCTTTTTTTACTCTAGAGCACATTCTAAAATATCGGTAGGGTGGCGGGCACCTATTTTAAATCGACAAAATCCTTCCAGAGGCGTAGCGACCCTTCCCGTCACCCGGGGACAAAACTTTAGATTTGCACCTCCCCCTCAAACTTCCCCCCCCCTCAAATTTTCTATTTGCACCCCCCCTCCCTCAAACTTTCGATTTCCATCCCCTTCAACCTTTCAATAATGTTTATGAAAAAAAATTCTGTCTCTGTCGAATAGTGAAAGGCGGGCACATACGAATCGTTCGGCGGGCGCCATGGCGCCCGCGGGCACGGGGTTGGCAACCCCTACTCTAAAGCCTAGTGCTATATTTATTTATCTACATCACGTCCTTATCTGGCTCTGATATTAACTGGTATTTATGTCGCCCCCTGCCACAAGCATACACCATGATGTGATATTTAGCTCAGCCTGATGGGTACCCCTGCCACAAGCATACACCATGATGTGATATTTAGCTCAGCCTGATGGGTACCCCTGCCACAAGCATACACCATGATGTGATATTTAGCTCAGCCTGATGGGTACCCCTGCCACAAGCATACACCATGATGTGATATTTAGCTCAGCCTGATGGGTACCCCTGCCACAAGCATACACCATGATGTGATATTTAGCTTAGAATGATGGGTACCCCTGCCACAAGCATACACCATGATGTGATATTTAGCTCAGCCTGATAGGTACCCCTGCCACAAGCATACACCATGATGTGATATTTAGCTCAGCCTGATGGGTACCCCTGCCACAAGCATACACCATGATGTGATATTTAGCTCAGCCTGATGGGTACCCCTGCCACAAGCATACACCATGATGTGATATTTAGCTCAGCCTGATGGGTACCCCTGCCACAAGCATACACCATGATGTGATATTTAGCTCAGCCTGATGGGTACCCCTGCCACAAGCATACACCATGATGTGATATTTAGCTCAGCCTGATGGGTACCCCTGCCACAAGCATACACCACGTTGGGGAGTTACCTACCCTACCAGTGTGGTGCCATATGTGGCTACCCCGCGAGTGAATGACCCGTTCTCTTTAACCATCAGTGTTTCTTCCAGACTTTTTTCTCCTGGATTGGGGGGGGGGGGGGGGGGGAGGGGGAAGGGGGGTGGGGGGCTCTTAAAATTTTCGAGGTGGGGGCGGACTAAAAATTACGGGGGGTGGGGGTTGGACACTGTTAAAAGTATATATTTTCTATATAAAATCCGTTTCGTTTGGGGGGGGGGGGGGGAGAAACTGTTAACCATTTGATTTTTTGTTTTGTTTTTTGTCACCAGACTTAGTGGCTTCCCTTTTGATTCTTCAGTACTTCATTCAAAGACTTCAGTATTGTAATTTATTTAGGTATAAATGGCGTTTGAACACACAATTTATTTGCTTTAAAATAACAAATTGATGTAGGACTAACAAAATTTCGTAAAGATGTTTCAAGATTTATCTTAAAGTAAGATTTACCTGAAGCTTACTGGATCACTGAATGAGAAATATAACCAGTTGGGGAGATAATCATAGCTTACCTTTTTTTTCTGCAAGATGTGAATTATTACAGACAGGAGGAAACAGTTACCTCCCATCCCCACCGGTTAATCTTTGAAAGCATTTGAGGCAGTTATGTTTTTACTGTAAACACCCGCAGCTAAAGGTCACTGCAGTTACGTAATAAAAGACACATGCGCCTCCCCTTCGGCGTCACGATTATGTTATTTTACTACAACCATCCCGCCTAAATAAAGTACATGCTATTTTCTTAAACCCCCCCCACACACACACACACACGTCAAATACATATTATTTTATTATCAGCTAACATATACACACATAATTATTTCATTTTCAGCCCCTACCTCCCCAGAAAGTACATGTTTAATTCACAAGTCGCCCCCCACCCACCCCCAACCACACACACACTCCAAATAAAACATACACTCACAAATAAAAGACAATTAATTTATATTCAACCCCTCTCCACCTAAGAAAGTAATGTTTAATTCACAAGTCACCCCCCCCCCCCCCACACACATACGCCAATAATATTATTTGTATTACCAGCTAACACATACTCACAAATAAGACATTTTATTTTCAACCGCTCACTCCTCAGAAAGTACATGTTTAATTCACAAGTCACCCCTCCCCCCCCCCCCCACCACCACCACCCCACCCATGCCGGTGTCAGTGACATCCAATCGTGTAGCTCCTCCCACTTGTGATATCAACACACATCTGGGTCACGGCAGTTACTCACTTCTGGTGCACTCAACGCTGCCTCGCTCTGCTCACAACGGGTTGCGTGGATTAACCAAGACTTAATACCTACAAAACGACGTCTCTAAGGATTAGCAAGTCCAGTTGATAGACCTATAAAACGACGAGTCTCTAAAGATTAACAAGTCTTTAACACCTACAATAGGACAAGTCTCTTAAGTCCTTTTGTTACATCTAGAACAAGACAAATACCACGGGATACTATGGATTAATAAGTTGTGTGTTTTTTAAACAAGTGTTGAATTTTTCTAACTTCGCCTGAAGTTTATGTGTTGGATAAGTTCATTGAAAAGTTTCTGCCATTTATTTGTACAAGTTCCTGAAATTTGTTGGATAGTAATTGCTTTGGACAAGAATTTTTAAAAAAAAATTGTTTGATAGCAATTTATTTGGACAAGTGTCTGAAATTTCTTGGATAGTAATTGATTTGGACAAGTTCCTTAAATTTGTTGGATAGTAATTGATTTGGACAAGTTTCTTAAATTTGTTGGATAGTAATTGATTTGGACAACTTTCTGTGGTTTGTTCTGGGTGCCTTGAAGGTAAATATTTCCCATGATAATTTTCCTTCACATTCCGTTCGCTAGTAAATTCCGTAGCAGACAGCTGGTAGTTAAAGATAGGTCATGTGACAGGTGTTGCTATTTTTAGAACGAGTGAAGACGCGCTAAAGATATGTTGAAACAAAACAAAACTCCCGTGAGAGTTTTGTACAAGCTTTGAATGAAACGAAACTGATTGTTATTGTTGTACAGTGTACATGGATATGTGAGATTTAGTTTAGTTAAATATTAGGATGGATGCTGTGAAATTGATTTGATTATCAGCACGTGTAATTTAATTAGTTAAAATTGTTTAAGCAAGCACTAATGTGTTAAGTTAATTACTTTACAGGAATTTTAATTTGCAAAGATATCTTTTAGATAGAGCAAAAGAATTAGTGCAAATGTTAATTGACCTCAGCAATGTGGCCAGTTACTGATGTAGAAATTGTGTGGTCAATCACTTGTAATTTATAAGTCTAGTCAGGTACTAATAAGAACTGAGTGGACTCAGAGACGCGGTACGTAGACGAGTCTTTAGATATCTTAAGCTACCTAAAAATGTAACCCACCCCACACCCCGCCAATGTTAGCGGTCAGATAAAACTAGACAGTGGACATGTGGTCACTTATCATATGGTCCGGGTTCGGATACCTGTCATGGTTGGGTTCGAACTTTGAAAACCACATAGCTTAAATCTTGGGTTACAGATTTTGTTTATGCTAAGGGGGGGGGGGGCAGAAAATATATACTTTTAACAGTGTCCCGCCCCCCCCCCCCCTCGGAAACTTTAGTCCGCCCCCCCCCCCCCCTCCACGAAAATTTTAAGTGCCCCCCCCCCGGAGAAAAGAGTCTGGTAAAACACTGCTGTCATCTTTTATAGAGCGATACCAACTGTTGTCAGTACGATGGGGATTTTACTCACGTTTAAGAGAGCATTCATGTCTGTATCCGTATCACGAGTAAAGCTATTTTTAGAAAATGCGCTGTGTTCATAGTCTACAATTATCAGAACCTCTACAAAACCAGACCCTGAAGACTGTAAAGACGCGATGCTAGATCGGCGCCTTAGTGTAAAATAATCATCTTCCCTGGCATTCTAGAACTAGATCTAGGTCAAGTGCTTGCCTGAAGGAAACCCACGAAAACTGGTCCTTCGTTGCGAACATTTTTATACCTAATATTGTGAGGGGGAGGAAATATGTTCCTCTTCATCCTAACAAATAAACACGAAGATATGATAAAACATCAACCAGAAAATGACCTTTACCAGGCGAACCTCTGTAATGAAGAGAGAGAAAGCGATTCCTTGGTTTGTTATTTGTGCTGTCTGGTTCAAGTGTTGAGGTCTCAGACATGTCTTTTGGCGTCATCATGTTCCATAGTTTACACACACGTAACGTGGGATGTAGTGAGCAGTTAGATCAGTAGCAAACCTTTCGGATGCACATCTACGGTGCACATGTGCATCTACAGTGCACACGACCAGATGCAGGCATGCTAGATAACATCAGGATGTTACCTTCGACCTTCACACGTCGCATCGTAGAATTTTTTTATGAACATCCTCGCTCACAAACTTTGTTTCTCTCCATACCGTGAGCTACTGCTTTACAGCCTTGTGTTAGTGTAGTAATTACATTCACCAAATTCTCTCACACAACCCACAGTTCCCACCACCTCCCCTCACACTATCCACCACCACCCCTCACACTATCCACCACCTCCCCTCACACTATCCACCACTTCCCTGTCACTATCCACCACCACCCCTCACACTATCCACCACCTCCCCTCACACTATCCACCACCTCCCCTCACACTATCCACCACCTCCCCTCACACTATCCACCACCTCCCCTCACACTATCCACCTCCCCTCACACTATCCACCACCTCCGCTCACACTATCCACCACCTACCCTCACACTATCCACCTCCCCTCACACTATCCACCAACTCCCCTCACACTATCCACCACCTCCCCTCACACTATCCACCACCTACCCTCACACTATCCACCTCCCCTCACACTATCCACCACCTCCCCTCACACTATCCACCACCTCCCCTCACACTATCCACCACTTCCCTGTCACTATCCACCACCACCCCTCACACTATCCACCACCTCCCCTCACACTATCCACCACCTCCCCTCACACTATCCACCACATCCCCTCACACTATCCACCACTTCCCTGTCACTATCCACCACCACCCCTCACACTATCCACCACCTCCCCTCACACTATCCACCTCCCCTCACACTATCCACCACCTCCCCTCACACTATCCACCACCTACCCTCACACTATCCACCTCCCCTCACACTATCCACCACTTCCCTGTCACTATCCACCACCACCCCTCACACTATCCACCACCTCCCCTCACACTATCCACCTCCCCTCACACTATCCACCACCTCCCCTCACACTATCCACCACCTCCCCTCACACTATCCACCACTTCCCTGTCACTATCCACCAACACCCCTCACACTATCCACCACCTCCCCTCACACTATCCACCTCCCCTCACACTATCCACCACCTCCCCTCACACTATCCACTACCACCCCTCACACTATCCACCACCTCCCCTCACACTATCCACCACCTACCCTCACACTATCCACCACCTCCCCTCACACTATCCACCACCTCCCCTCACACTATCCACCACCTACCCTCACACTATCCACCACCTCCCCTCACACTATCCACCTCCCCTCACACTATCCACCACCTCCCCTCACACTAACCACGACCTCCCTCACACTAACCACGACCTCCCTCACACTATACACCTCCCTCACACTATCCACCACCTACCCTCACACTATCCACCTCCCCTCACACTATCCACCACCTCCCCTCACACTATCCACCACCTCCCTTCACACTAACCACGACCTCCCTCACACTAACCACGACCTCCCTCACACTATCCACCTCCCTCACACTATCCACCACCTACCCTCACACTATCCACCTCCCCTCACACTATCCACCACCTCCCCTCACACTATCCACGACCTCCCTCACACTATCCACCTCCCTCACACTATCCACCACCTACCCTCACACTATCCACCACCTCCCCTCACACTATCCACCACCTCCCCTCACACTATCCACCACCTCCCCTCACACTATCCACCACATCCCCTCACACTATCCACCACCGACCCTCACACTATCCACTACCACCCCTCACACTATCCACTACCACACCTCACACTATCCACCACCTCCCCTCACACTATCCTTCACCTACCCTCACACTATCCACCTCCCCTCACACTATCCACCACCTCCCCTCACACTATCCACCTCTCCTCACACTATCCACCACCTCCCCTCACACTATCCACCACCTACCCTCACACTATCCACCTCCCCTCACACTATCCACTACCTCCCCTCACACTATCCACCACCTCCCCTCACACTATCCACCAACTACCCTCACACTATGCACCACCTCCCCTCACACTATCCACCACCTCCCCTCACACTATCCACCTCCCCTCACACTATCCACCACCTCCCCTCACACTATCCACCACCTCCCCTCACACTATCCACCACCTCCCCTCACACTATCCACCACTTCCCTGTCACTATCCACCACCACCCCTCATACTATCCACCACCTCCCCTCACACTATCCACCTCCCCTCACACTATCCACCACCTCCCCTCACACTATCCACCTCCCCTCACACTATCCACCACCTCCCTCACACTATCCACCACCTACCCTCACACTATCCACCACCTCCCCTCACACTATCCACCTCCCCTCACACTATCCACCACCTACTCTCACACTATCCACCACCTCCCTCACACTATCCACCACCTACCCTCACACTATCCACCACCTCCCCTCACACTATCCACCACCTCCCCTCACACTATCCACCTCCCCTCACACTATCCACCACCTCCCCTCACACTATCCATCACCTCCCCTCACACTATCCACCACCTCCCCTCATACTATCCACCACCTCCCCTCACACTATCCACCACCTCCCCTCACACTATCCACCTCCCCTCACACTATCCACCACCTCCCCTCACACTATCCACCACCTCCCTCACACTATCCACCACCTCCCTCACACTATCCACCTCCCCTCACACTATCAACCTCCCCTCACACTATCCACCACCTCCCCTCACACTATCCACCACCTCCCTCACACTATCCACCACATCCCCTCACACTATCCACCACCTCCCTCACACTATCCCCCACCACCCCTCACACTATCCACCACCGACCCTCACACTATCCACCACCTACCCTCACACTATCCACCACCTCCCCTCACTCTATCCGACTCCCTCACACTATCCACCACCTACCCTCACACTATCCACCTCCCCTCACACTATCCACCACCTACCCTCACACTATCCACCACCTCCCCTCACACTATCCACCACCTCCCCTCACACTATCCACCTCCCCTCACAGTATCCACCACCACCCCTCACACTATCCACCACCGACCCTCACACTATCCACCACCTACCCTCACACTATCCACCACATCCCCTCACACTATCCACCACCTCCCCTCACACTATCTACCACCTCCCCTCACACTATCCACCACCTCCCTCACACTATCCACCACCTCCCCTTACACTATCCACCACCGACCCTCACACTATCCACCACCTCCCTCACACTATCCACCACCACCCCTCACACTATCCACCACCGACCCTCACACTATCCACCACCTCCCCTCACTCTATCTACCTCCCTCACACTATCCACCACCTACCCTCACACTATCCACCTCCCCTCACACTATCCACCACCTACCCTCACACTATCCACCACCTCCCCTCACACTATCCACCACCTCCCCTCACACTATCCACCTCCCCTCACACTATCCACCACCTTCCTCACAGTATCCACCACCTCCCCTCACACTATCCACCACCTCCCCTCACACTATCCACCACCT